AGTGGTCTTATCCCATCAGGAAGACGAGGATCGTGACAATATATCGACGTGAATCGTACATGTATTGTTTGAGAGAATTTCTGGAATACCTAATACCATTCAATTTGAATAATAATGATCCTAGTTATCAGTTGTAAATGTTCACGAGGACAATCTATATCTTATGGCACCAGGCGTAGGTGATATCGAAGCATAAAAATAATTAGGCATAACATAATATACAACACATAAATTCTCAACACTTTCAACAAGGTGAAGACTAATTCAATTCACTTGTTCCATATTAAAATTGATAGGGTTTTTGACTGTGTCATCAACATCGGTGACCCCTACAACAAAAAACAGGAGCCTTTGTTCCTAATGCAATGCGAACGAAGAACAGTCGTATTCAATGAAAAAGCGCACAAGTATTAAAAAGAGAGGATTTCGGGATCCTAGTTCTAGTTGTGTAAAACTGGCTCAGCCAATGCTTTGCGTTTTCGAGAACCTATGACAACTTTACTGTCAACATTTGGTGAACAATCATTCCCGATAGCCCGTTTCATGCAGAATAGGATGACGTTAATTTCTCTCTGTAATATACTTGTACGCTTTTTTTTTAATGCGACTGTACATGCGGAGATCTAATCATCAAAGCGTACTCTCCAGAAATAATGAAGAATATTAGACAGGCTGATTTACATAAATGTGATAAAGATTGGAGAAACGATGCATTATTCGTATCACATTTGAAAAAGTTATTTTGGAAATTGTGAACATTCTGACGTTATTCATGATAAAAATTCGTATTGAGACCTCGAGAGGGAATATATTATATAATATATAGCATCTACATAATTATCATAATAATGCGCATATGATGGTATATGGAGCAGTGCATTGAAATTTCATGGAGTGTGTTCAAGGATATGCAAAAAAATGTCCTGTCATCAGGTGAAGATGATTTCAAGGACTAAATTGGAATTTAATTTTTCCCATCATTATTTCCATTTTAACGGGCATTATCTTAACTTATTTTGATGGGAACAACTCACCGAGTATTTATTTCAACCTCAGGTAATCACCTTGTATATTAATGTTCTTGTTGCCTATACATTATTTATTCAGGGAACAAATAAAATATAGTATGATAACACAAACATTGAATGAATTCATTAAAAACAAAAATAATGTTGAGGTCATAAGACATATGATAAAAAATTTGAAAAAGTACTTAAATAAATAGTAAATAAGTAGGTTTGATAATATTCACGACTGAGGCAATGATATAACATATATTGACTCTCCTTGTGCAAATTTCAACTGATTATTGGAAATGACTGATTATTCAAATGGTATTCTGAGAATTCGAAAGTAGTTCTCTGAGACAATTCATGCCTGAAATGCTGAAAAAACAAAATTCTGAAGATTCTATTGTTTCGAATCGGTACGTTACTTAGTTCGGAATCCATGATAATTAGAAGAATTCGGGTTGAATAGTTTTTCGACTTCTGATCTGATTGAGAAACCGATTCAATTGTGTAATTGCACAACTTGTTGAGCTCCGTAGATTGATTCATTCATTTTTGGTGCGTATATAGATACGCACCAAAAATAAATGAATGAAGAATTAGAAATAGCACAATTCTAAAAATTCCTAGGGACGGTGGGGAAGATATTGAGAATTTATCTATAAAATTTTCGTTATTGAGATGCTTCCATTTTTTTCGGAGGTAACTTCATCTTTTTAATTCTCACTGGGACACCCTGTATTTCACAACATTCTTGAACCCCTCTCATGTTTCTGATTCGAATTTGTTTATCACACCCTATACAAACCGTTTTTGAGTTTCTCGGGTTTTTCTAAAGACAGTGACAAATCTATCAAACATACCTACGCCATTTTTATGTGAATTGTAAATTTTAGCGATACACACATATTGGGTCATGAATATTGACGGTTGAACGGATCACTCACCATGATCACAACCACTGGATAATATTCAAGGTGCGCAAAAAAGTGGGTCCAAAGACTAAACATGAAATCCCATTTTTTCTTCTCATAATTCAATTCTACCATAAAAATTAGCCATTGTTCCAATTACCCATAATTTGATAGACATTCCATGAAAAGTAGTACTTAATTCAACAATAGCTGCCTGTGATGATGGTTGTTTCTAGTTGGCTGTGCAAATTATCTATCAGGGATTCATCGCCTGCAATAGTGCAAAATATGGCTCGTGTTGGGTATAACAATAAAGAGTTCGTTAATGTAGGCATAAGTTACTTAAGGTGAATGTAATGAAACGAAACTTTCATTATCATAAACTCAACACGAGTCATATTACAATTTTGCAGATGATGAATCTGACAACAGAATTGAGTACTATTTTTGAAATTTTTCTGAAGTTATGGGGTTTGGGTACAGAGAAATTAATTGAAAAAGGCGTCATTTTCATGATAGAATTCAATCGTCAGAAGAAAAAATGGGATTGTCATTTTGAAAAATTGAGATTTTCCATGTTCAACATTAACTTTCTTGGCCCAATATATACAAAAAGCTCAAAGTCATTACACAATGTTCATGTAGATTTCGGGAAAAAACAACTAGTTTCCTGGCTAATGCCACGCAAAACATTGAATTACATCCTCCCAAAATCTATGCTCCGACTGAATACTGATACAAGTGATTTTTTTCCTGAATGCCTATCGATTTCGATTTAGCCAGGCACGTTAGACACCTACAGACCGGTTTTCAGCTTGTCTGACACAATGAAATTTTTTTCAAAAATTGTTCATTGAATGAACCTACTAGTTTTTCACCCGATGAAGCTACTGTGTTAGCGGAACATGTCTTGTGCTTAAGAATTTAATAATAACCTTGTCAAAACTACCTGTTATGGGCTTCTTGTACTGTGTACAGTTTTCACATGCCTAATGAAAATATCTAACATATCAAAAAGTATCATTGTAATATTCTGAAACACTATAATACGCTTTCATTTCCAGTTGTTTCCTCAGTTTTTAGATTCGAAACTTTACGTATCTCTTATGGAAGATGATTGTGAATTTTCTTGCTTCCATATATAAGTTAATTTTCTGTCAATGTTTACAAAGGAATGGGTAATGAGCGAGTGGACTGATAATGAATTATTGGCATTTAATTACTCCACTGTGTCGTTAGAAACCTAAATCAATTTCTGTAACACTTCAACACTTCTTTCGCCTTTTTTATGTGAATAATAGGAACGTCTATGCCGAGGTCTATGCGTTGTTCAAAATCGTTGAATTTCATGGCCGCCATTTGGCGATAAGTCGAATAAATGATGACGTTAGTTTTGATGCTGTTTCGTTATTAGTCAGATAATCTTCCATTTTCACTCATGAAGCAAAGGTTGCCAAGTCACCAATTATAGCCAAGTTATCAAAAAGATGTTTGAGTCCTGTCTTTGGATAAAACATAATAGGTGGAACTCATGGCATTATAGTTCATTCTTGACTTTCTCGAACAACCAGTAGTCCAAGTATTTCTTATTCTCCATAACAAAATATCATGTGAGACTTTGCAACATTGTGCTGAATGTATAGAAATGACAAGACCACGCCCACAAGTCGTGCGCGGGGCTGACACCTTCACCGATTCAAATGTCCTCTAGGGTGGATTAATATAATTATTATTTACACAAATGCATTATAAACAATAAGCCACAAATCATAATGGAACATTTTGAGCCAATTGAATCTTTATTGCTAATTAGGAATATTACTAATACTCAATTGAGAATTTATGAATTATGGAATGACTAATATTTCTGATGTTCCCAATCGTATTTCAACACATGGCAACTGTGCTATGGTCTGCCCCTGCTTACGAAATCGTGGCGTCAGTTCTTACTGGCGGTAAAATTTCTAGCCGTTTGAAAATTACCGTGGCATAATTGATGATTCTAGCACCTACAAATTGACTGAACAATGTTTAGAAATATGAAATTGAAAGGTATTTGAGTAATAATTCTATCGAGGAAATAAAAAACGAATAGTCCACTTGCCTATTGTATAAGGCACGCAGACTCTATGATGAGGATATCGTATTTGAATTTTATACAGGGTGAAAAGTTGCTTACAGTGTGCCCGGTTTGTAGCCTTACATAGGTACCGAACATCTCTCTTCTGTAGAACGAACAAACGAGTTCAATAATTGATCTGTGCATGTATATCAACGGAACGTCGAGAGTGCACTTACACATAGCAATAAGCACCGAAATGTCATCAAAATTGTATCATAATGAACAAAACGGTGTTTTCAATATCAATCCCTACAAAAATACGAACCCAATGGTACCGAAGTTGATGGGGATACCTTGAAGGACTACGAACATGTAGGCGAAACACTTAAATTTGTCTGATAATTTGAGTGCATAGGAGTGTGACTGAAATGGCCGGTTCGGATACACTCATTCAATAGGGCAGACGTTTTCGTTGAATTCGTATATTGAAAATGTCTAACTGAATATAAGAAGTTTAAACAAGTTTCGAAAATACGACGAATCTGGCGCTAATGATTTTGACATTTTCGCACTCAACGCAACGCAATGTAACACCCTGTAATTAAAAATGATTGAGAACTGTCTCCGATGCATAATACATCAAACTTTTCCAGGATGATCGCTCAATTCAGATGTAAACGAATGATATAGTCATTAACCTTACAAGGCCAATATGTAGCAAATAACAGATGAGCCGAGAATTATATAACAACAGAATCAGTTATTTGCGTATCGGTCGTGTGTCGTTCAAGACTTTTCATAATATTTCTGAAAGATTCTCGTAATTCTACAGAAATTTCAACATCGTGTTGTCATGGAACAGCTTAACAATATCACAATAACATTATAACGGCCGCTGGCCGTTAAACAATCTTAACGGACGAAGGCTGTTTACATTCACTTTTCAATCGTCATATGAATATCTATAAATCGAAATAAAAATCAAGTAAATGATGTTGTAACGTGTATTCTTACCTCCGCTTGTCTAAAGCAAACAGTATGATTACAGGAAGAGAAATCACAATAGTGATTACTGCTGGCATTAATAATGCCTATAATAGAAGTAAATAACACAAATAGCTTCAACATGACTTCATGAAAATATATGGAGATAGACCGTGAAAAATATCAGTAGTTATACCTTTATCCATAATTCATTCTAAAACTTTATCTCTAATATTGTGAGTATAAGAAACTCGACGAAAAAAGTTAGAGAAGTTTGAATTACTCTGGTTGAAAACACGATGGATTTTGTTTGTTTTGTAGCTGAACAACCCTAATATCACGCAACGTTCTAGGGACGTCCCTATTTGGTAACCCTTAGATCTCATACAATGTCCGAGCAAGGACGTCCATGGAATATCCCAGCTGGTACATCATTTCTAATTTCCTAGAAATTGCATCCTTCAGACGTCCCACATGGTACATATTGTACAATCTCCATGCAAGGATGTCCTTGGCATGTCCCTGATGGGATATAATTTTAAATGTTTATTTGGGGACATTCATCGGATGTCCAAAGTAGTACATATTCTGTAGATCTTATATAATGTCCCTTCTAAAATAACTATGGAATGTCCCAGACGGTACATTCCTTCAAATATCTCTGCACGGACGCCTTCAATATCTCCTGGATCGTATAACATTCGAAATGTCCCTTAGAGACATCCGTCGGACGAACTCTGTTATAACTTCGGAAGGAACTCCTATAGATAATCCATATATGTTCCAAGTAATAAGTAAAAGAATATTCTTCACGGAATATAACGTACAACGTCCAATGGACGCCCCAAGGACGTCCTCAGAATGTCCTAGATACGATTCGGAATGTGTCCTAAGGGACATCAATCGGTGGTATACATTGGCATCAGGTTCAGATAGACATCCTATATAAATGTCCTTCACGCAAGCGAATGATATTTGTGTCTTCCAAAATCCTAGAAATACCGTCCTATGGACGTCCCAGTCGGTACTTTCAATATCTTGTCCCTATGAGGACGTTACCGTACACCTCGCCGACGATCGACTGCTCGTGATCTATAAATACACTTTCCGTCAATGCTCTTTATGTAAGTCCATTGGACATATCCTTGGAAAACATATTCATGATTTATTGGGAACCTTGTACATGGACCATCAACTTAACTGGATGTCCTCCATCAGTTATGCATAAGATCTGGTCCCCGGGAGACCCAAATAAATTGAAATTCAAGAATTATTCGTACGTCCTTATGACATCCTATGGACATCCAATTAATATCCCTCAGCGTTGCTGATAGGTTAGCCTACGGATGTCCTCCGTAGTGGTTGATCAGAAATACTGTTGGATTTGAATTATCAATAGTTGTCCCAGGGGCATCCCTTAAGGACGTCCCTAGTTGGTCCTCAAGGGACAGTTGTGCGTCTCACAGACATCCAATGGACGTCTATGGTACGATATTCGAACGTCCTTTGGACGTCCGGAATGTCTCCACGGGACGTCCAAAGGATGTCCATAGGACATAATTGTGCTATTAGAGAAGCTAAGTGCACAGAACTATAAAGACAAAAATTCAATGCCTGAGGGGCTTTCACGGTCTCGAATGAAATTAAATGAGGTTCAACATAATATCGTTATTTGTGGCTCATCTGCGTTGTGTGGAAGAGTTATTTCTTTATCAATTGATATTATAATAATATAATAATAATTTCAAACTGATTTTTATTTTTTGTACTTCATATATTATGTTTTCCATATCTTTTAAATGACATGGATGATTAATATGCCTAATAAGGTTGTAAGATTCTGAACAATATATATTCATTCATTTGAAAATGCTGATAATTCCGCTCATTAAAAGTATGCATTTGGAATTATTATATAATGAGTAGGTCGTTACGAATTAGGTATTTCACATTGAGTAGACAAGCTTGCGTTGAAGCCCTCGAATAAATATCAAAGATCGGCTATAGCTTCAACTGTTCAGATTTTTTTCTATATTTCATATCATTTTGTTCTGTCACTCATAAGAATATTTTTGTATACTATGTTGTGAGTTTTCCGTCTGGTGCAAGAAATTCTGTAAATTTCGGGTATAAATGAAAGCGAACATGCTACATATAAGTGGTGGAAACCATCCATCCTTCTCAAAGTGGTCCCAATTTGTTCAAAGAAAAAAACAGAATCACACCAAGTCGGTCTACCACAAAAATTATATCACACAAAATCTATTGTGACTAGTTTCGGCTCCAACAGTCATCTTCAAACACATCAGTACACAGTACCTGTAAAGAAATTAAATTTACAGAGGAACAATAAGTTGTTGAGGTATAAGATATCTATAAGGCAATGTGGAAATCACATTATAGAAAAAAAAATGAAAAAAAAATTGAGGAAAATAAAAAAACTGCAAAATTTTAAAAAAAATTTAAAGAAATTGAAAAAAAGCCGTGGGGTCCTATAACCAAAAAATGAGTCGGATGAAGGAATACTCAAATTTTGAACCGACTCAACAGCCAATAGAACCCAACGATCATCAGGTTAAACATTGCCAAGCCAAGGAAAAGAATGAATGTCAAGGTGTAGTAACTGTAATCAAGGACAAAAGAAGAAGATATCAGAAAAGTGAATAAAACAGGGTCGACTTGAGTGAATGCAAACAATATAAAATTGTTCATGAGAATTCAAGTGTGCGAAAAGTTTGCTTACTTTCAAAATTAGTTTGGCCATTGAAACAGTTGATATTTGGGGTTATTGAAACATTTTCGAATTTCTAAAATGTCCAAGAGGTTTTGCTGTGGACCTTCAATGCAAATGTGGATAATCTCCATATTGGAGTTAACATCTGAAGAATGACTGGGATCAATAATATGATTTGCAAAAGAAGATGTAGTGTTAGGATCATCTGAGTTGGGAAATTTCTATATGAGTCTGTTATGTTCCGAGGCGCGGGTTTCAAAACGTCTACCAGTTTGATCTATATAAGAAGAACTACAATCATTACAATTTAATCTGTACACACCTGACTTTTTTGTTTGAGGAATTTTGTATTCAGAATCAACAAGTAGATGTTTGAGATTGAAGGAAGTCTCATAGGAAATGTCAATATCGAAATTTCTGAAAAGTTTTGAAATTTGAACCGAGTAATTACCGAAAAAATTTTAAAATTTGAAAACTGGGGGATCAGTATCTTGACTCAAATTAATATTGGAAGTTAGCCTAAATTAGGTTGAGAATTTGAAATAAATCTTCATGATTTGTTCTAAGGGAAAATGATTATTTATAGCAATTTTGTCGCTTCCGATACCAAAAGGCATAACTGACAAAAATGCGAAATTCACTTTAGTCCACATGTCACCAATGGACGGAACTGAATGTATTATATTTCCGACGTACTGCTGAATTTTGGTCTAGGCGTCTCTCATTTCAGAATACATTTTTTTGTCACCAAGAGGCGTAAATTAAGATAAGCCTCTTAGTCACGAAACTTTTTCTGTTTTTATCTATGGGCGTAACTTACGTTTTCCCCAAATTGAGCTCATGTGAACCAATCAAATACAGTGTGAACAATCACGTGATTGAGAAGTGAAGGTACCGTGTTTGCATCCTTCAGTTTTTGTTATTCTTCAGCAGGTGATTCATGTTCCCATCTCAAATGATAATTCAATATTCTATAACCGAAGATTAGGCGTATTTAATTTGACTATGTACAATATGGCTTCTATAGACTGCTACTGTTTCACTTGGTCAGAAGGACAAGTAAAGAGAGGTGCATGCGAGATTTCTAGTGCTTTAACACGTTGAATGCCACGTAGTCCGGAGTAGGAGGCTCTGAGAAACCAAGGCTAGTTTTGAGTAAATAATCATTTATTTAAGCATGATTTGTAAATACATGGTATTGCTAATTCATGCTGACGTTTTTAAAATCACCAGCAGCTGTCCAGTTTACTGCACAGCGGGCTATATTTGAGGGTTTAGCATGTATAACCCGCCGTCCAGTAAACTGGACATGCACATATCAAGAAAAAAAAACAGAACTAAGAGCATTACTCCTTTATTTGCTTCATTGCATACAACAACATTTCAAATGAGATTGAATCTAGATATAAGAAGCCTAAATGGACGATGCATGCCAATTTTTGAAGCAAGGATAGACACAAAGACCAGGTTTTTCCGGGCAAACAGGGCAAAAATATCTTGTTTTCTTTTTTCCTTCATCTTCGGGCATTGGCGACATCTTTCCATTGCGGAGTTCTCTTTCTCTGTTGCTGGGTTCGGCTCCAAAAAATGAAATTTGTTTGTTTTTGTTGTTTTGGCTGCAGAAGTTTCAACAGAAGTTTCTATTTGCTGATCTATAAACTTTATAATTACTCTTTCACGGAAGTCCAAAAGTCTGATATCTTTATTCTGATGAAGATTATAAATGTAACAAGCATTCCACATACACAAATCCACCAAATGGAAAAAAATGTTGCGGTACCACACCTCAAGGTGGAACTCAATCATTTGGATGGAGCGGTCAATACCTGACATGTGTTTATTATAATCAATAACACATACAGATTTTATCTTCTTATTCTTAGCTCTCTTTCCTTGAATTTTAACTATCGAATGTTTATGCAAAGTACTTATCATTCGGACATTCTTTGTATCTTTTCAGTTGGTAAGCAAAACTGGCCCCTTTCTATTCCATACAACTTCACCTTTTTTTAACCTGCATGTTGCCAGATTTATTCTGATATTTTTGTATCCCAATAGCTCAAAAACGAAACTATTTCCGTGCTATACATATAAAACCAACTCCGTGGCCCGACGACAAAAGATAGAGAATAAGTATACCCGCTGTTTAAACGCGTCCAGTTAAGTGGACGCGGCGGTATACGTATGAAGTTCCCGTATGTCCAGTATACTGGACAATGTATGGCATTCAACGTGTTAAATGCATTTTTGAACTTAAACGACAGACAAGGAAAACGAAAAGTATACCTTTTTGGTGATAGTTGCAGTGGGCAGAATAAGAACTCAATTGTAGCTTCCTGTCTACTTTATATACTGCATAACAGTGCAAATTTGAAAGAAATCTATCTCCGATTCTGTACTCCAAATCATGGACAACACGAAGGGGATTTGGCCCACAGGGTAATTTCTTGTGCCAAAAAGCTGGAGATTT